TTCCCCATGTTATCGTGTGCGATGCCTGGGTTCCCCATGTTATCGTGTGCGATGCCTGNTTATATATATATATATATATATATATATATATATATATATATATATATATATATATATATATATATATATATATATATAAATGAGCTGACCATGCGATGCTTAAATGACAGTTCTACTAAAATAAGTTCAGAATCTTTAAAAAAACGCTAGGAAATTTCGATTACGTTACTGAAATCCCATCGGTTTTAAAAAATGATAAAAATCAAATACATCTGCTAATATTTAAGTATATAATGAAGTATATTTATTAGAAATTTGAAATACCTTCAACTCGACTTATAAGGAACTGTCTTAAGTATTTTATCCTAATACTAATATAAACGTTAAACTTTTTTCTGATTAGTTAAAAAAAAATATATTATAGTCGAAATTTTAGCGTTATTAATTCATTATCTTTTTTATCGGGAAATTTGATTCTTGGGGGCGGGATGGAGAGGGAATGTCGCGTTTTTAATATTGCAAATTAAAATTACATTTATTTTATTCAAATATCTTGAAACAATATCCAATTAAAATGTTCGCTTGAAATTAGTTAACGTATGACTTAACTGATGTGCTTTCCCCCCTTTTTAAATAATAAATTTAATTTTTTTTTTTTTTAACTGTTTAGAAACAACACTACATTTTAAAATTTATCTTTTGCATTGTTACAATTAAATCAGTTTTACATATTTTTCATTCCAAAATTGTGCTTTTTAAAAACAAATTTATAAAGTAATAAAAAATTATAGTGTATAAATACTTTTAATAAGAAAATGCTGTTTAGTCCAATAGGTGCAGCTAAACTTCTATTATCGCTAATCCAAATAATAAATAAGCACAAACCATTGGAAGTTGCAGTTGCTTCATTTTGATATTTAAAGAAAAAAATGTAAAGCTGAGGGGTGCGAAAATGGGAATTCTAGACCTATAGTTAATACTTTAAAGCAGAATAAATATATATTTTTTTTTTAACTTAGGGAAGCAAGAAACGTAAATATCATTATAGATTTACTTATTTTTTAAAAATTAGGAATGCTGATAAGACCTCGTAATATCAGGTAGAAAGTGTCACAAAAATTCTTATCATCATTATCCCGGTAACATCAGGTCATATATTTCTAGTATACAATACATAGCTAATATAAGAAAAATGTAAAACAAAAAATATACACCCAAAAATGTCATTAGGAAAGTTATAAAATTATAAACTTTATAACATTATAACAAGTATAAAACTTATAAAATTTTAAAGTTATACAATTTATAAAGTTATAAAAGTATACATTTTAGAAAAGTTGTAAAATGTGTACAATTTTAAAAGTTATAAGGTTAGAAAAACTATTGTGTTTTAAAAGTTATAAGGTTCTAAAAGTTATAAAAGTTATAAATTTATACAAGTTACAAATATTTATAATGTTATAAAGTTATAATGCTATACAAGCTTTAAATCATAAACCATATTTTTGCACAGATGCAGGAGAAGAACATTAATCGTCTCTTTAAAAAAAATGTAATGAAAACTTAACACGAGCAATGACATTTACCAGATTCTAGGGCCGATTTTTTGTTTGAGCCTGATAGCTCGAGGCTCCACAGCCCAATGAAGCTTTCATTCTCATCAACCCCAATTTTCGACCAAGCTGATGACGCCAATCCTACCAAGTGGGACAAGTTTCCGATGTTGATTATTACGACGATGCTTTTATAAAAATAGGAAGCCATTGGTCTGTGGGACTGAACTGTAAGATATGGTATGAAATGATCACATCTCTCGGCCCGTGGGACTGAACTTTAAGATATGGCATGAAATTATCACATCTCTCAGCCCAGGTATTAATCCATTTACCCATCCCGCCTATCCAAGTTTCCATCCATCCGTTCATCTATCCGTCCGTCCGTCCAACTATCCATCCGTCCGTTCATCTATCCGTCCGTCCGTCCAACTATCCATCCGTCCGTTCATCTATCCGTCCGTCCGTCCAACTATCCATCCGTCCGTCCATCTATCCATCCGTCCGTCCAACTATCCATCCGTCCGTTCATCTATCCGTCCGTCCGTCCAACTATCCATCCGTCCGTTCTAGCCTACGTCATGTTATCCATGCATCCATCCTTTTAACTATTCATCCTTTCGCCTGTTCTACTGTGCATTAATCCGTCCACTCGTCAATCCATCAGTCCATCCGTCGATCTTTATCTATACATCCGATCCTCCAACTATTCATCCATCCATCCATCCATCCATCAAACTATCTAGCCATCCACCCGTCCAACTACCGATCCCTCCACCTGTCCAACTACCCATCAATCCAAATATCTATCCATCCGATTTATCTGCAAGTATAGATCAAACATATTCAAAATGAATAATTACATGGTTTTAATGTCTTTTTTTTCCTTGCGCCCAACTCAACATTTCTTATAAAAAGCCGATTACTTAAGAGTGTGCTTTGCGTTTGCAAGTAGGCCGCCTAACTTTTTATATTTTTACAATGTCCAATTGAAAGCAAAGTGTTGAAACAATGGTTACGATTAATTTATTATACATAAATATATAATTAATATGATATATATATATATATATATATATATATATATATATATATATATATATATATATATATATA